AAAAAAAAGCGAATCGTCAAAATGATTTTTACGAAAAAAAGAGGAATTTTGTCCCTCTTTTTTTCCTTAAAATCGTTCTATCGACACTTACAAATAAGAGTTCGAATTTTTTTGTCGAAAATGATTTCTCAGTTAGTTAAATTAGGTATTATAGAAGATCATTTTAAAAATACGCATGTTAAGCATCGAATGTTGGTTATTTGTTGTCGGTTGGGAAGAAAAAATGCCACATCATTCAAAGTCAAAGTTATACCTTTAAATTCATTAATGAGGAGGGTAAGTGTTACATTTGTAACTTTAAGGGGGTAAGTGTTACCACCCTTATAGTTTAAGGGTGCAAACTGTATTTAGCCCTTCTTTCTATTCCGATCATAATTCTGATATGTACATGTCGAAAACTGTCTGCGTCTAGACTCAACGGATTCCACTGCAAATTCACCCAAATAATGTGCACCCGACAACAAATAACCAACATTCGATGCTTAACATGCGTATTTTTTAAATAATCTTCTATAATACCTAATTTAACTAACTTAGAAATCAATTTCAACAAAAAAATTCGAACTCTTATTTGTAAGTATCGATAGAACGATTTTAAGGAAAAAAAGAGGGACAAAATTCCTCTTTTTTTCCTTAAAATCAATTTTGACGATTCGCTTTGTTTTTTTTTTTTTTGCATCTAAGAAAGTGATATCATAATTTGCAACATCACCATCTCATTGGAAGGAGGAAAGAACGATTCAACATAAACCATATAACTACAGTATCTAATGAGAATTGAACACAATCGAAGATGTACATTTGAATTAGAGGAAGAAAGCTTTTAAAAAGCTTTATTTCCTGCCGCTCGTTCCGGTCCGTGGTTTGCCTTTGACCTCAACCTCCTGTCGTAAACAACAACGGATATAAAAGTCGGTTTCAGGGGCAATAAAGACTTTTCATGTCAAATAATTAAAAATTATGAGAAAGTGAAGGTACCTGTGGCTGATGTAGGTAGATATGTGTCTTTGCTGTTGATGGATTGTGATTTTCAGCACCCTTGCTCCAATCATAACACACCTGAATTTCGTATGCTAGACAGATCAAATACATATTTACGTACGTACATACATATATAAATTTAAAAGTAATGCAGGACACTTCTATCAATTGAATTACTGATAACCAATAATCATCACTGAATGCACGATTAAGAAAATCGAGAAAAATATTACTAAAGAAAAGCAGCTAGTGCGTACCGAGTATGCATAAATCGAACCATCGTTGTTGAAACTGCTGCAAGTTATTGGTTGATTGCACCTCAGCATAGCCTAAACAATTTGACGAAATAATGATAAAGATGAGATGTTTCGTGTATGTCTATATTCAAATCTGTACTACAGAATAAAACGGTAACTGAAGTAGAAAAAATATGTCGTACCTTCAGCCTCTGTTTGCTATCTTTGTCCCAAAAGTTAAAGGCTCCATCAGATCCAGCAGTCGAAAACGTATGGTGTACCTGAGATGTAGCAAAGAGTAGAATTGTTTACTTAAAGAAACCAAAGACGGAATAACATCGTATCTAGTTCAACGAATATTATAATGAAATAAATGTTTCTTACAGGGTGAAAATTCAGTGAGTTGACAGAGTAAATGTCGTTCCCATCTCTGTGGCATTTGAATGTAAAGTTTTTACTTGATAGCGAATCGTCAAAATGGTGTACCCCGACTCTCCCTTCAATCGAGCCAACCTGCAAAACAATGCAAATTGTGGCAGCGTTATAGTATACCACTATCACTCGTCTGGTTAACCATTGATCGAAACATCTAAGATAACTTTTCATGCAATGCTATAGAATGCAACTACATACAAAATCAATACTAAGTACTTGATTGCAGACCATTAGTAAGGTTTACTCCATAATATAATGCCTTGTAAGAACAGACGAGCATTTTCAAGAAACAAAATGATTGACGATGAAGCGTTGATTGCTTTACGTCATCTTGTCATGTCCTTTCTTTTACACCTACTTAGTTTACATGGTGAACAAACAATCGTGGAAGCTTGATTCATTTACATGTGTGTCTCAAGTAAGAATTTGCTTTTGTTGTCAACAAAATTTGCCCTAACGCTCATATGAGAAGTTTTTAACGTGGGGGGGAAGAATAGAAAATTCAAGAAGAAAAGAAGAGACTAATAGATGATAAACTCCCTGCACACATTACAAACTTAGAAAATAAATTGCAAGGCATAATAAACTTCTCGATTAAATTAGTTCTGCATGGAAACAAACACAGTCACAAAGCTTAAACGAGTAAATGGATAACAAAATACTGCATCCACTCATTTATCACACTCAATATCAGCCAAAATCCAGACAGAATCAAAATTCAACTCAAATAACAGTTTCCAGATGACTTTTACTGCAGCTCTAAAAGAAATTGCAACATTAGATGAAGAATTGCTTCAAAAAATAACTGAAGTCCGAAGAGATAGGTTGACATCTTTTTCATTCAAGTTGGACCAGAGGTAGTTGTATAATGTACTGGCCATGCTAAATGAGAACAAGGCATAATAGAAACTTAAGCAGATAAACATTTTGGATAATGAGAACTTACTAAGAATCCCTGCTGATCAGGAAAAGCAGCTAAACATCGAGTTTGATACTTCAGGGGTGACACAATCCTCTTGAACTCAGTCTGCAAATATTGCAGAAGCAGTTGATCATGTTTGCAGAACTTGAGTGCCTGTTTTTCTCATAGAAAATGTTATATGATTTTCAAACAGTGGGTAGGTAAAGTTCAACAATATAAACAAAAATACAAGTTCTCTGTACCACCATTTATTATATATAATACACATTTTTAATAAAATCATATTGATTCCCCTTCGATATAAACTGTATCATAATAGGCAAATCCTTCTAAACTAGTGAAATTAACATATATAATCAAGAACCAAATTTATACCTTTCCATGGCAGTGCCTTGCATAAACTTTTATATCTCACAGTACATTAACTTTTTTATATCAAACCCAACTTTCAATATTCAAAGAATAGATCAACATATATCATTACGGACCCAAATATAGCTCATGCCTATGGAGGTAGATAAAGCCAACTTACGATTAGGAAACATCAACATCTTACAGAAAAGATTAATGCATGTCAAAGAAACCAAAGATAAAAGAAAAATGAAATTTGAATCTAGCAAGCAGATAAATTTCATTTTTGTAAGCTATACCATAACCAAACCTTTTAACGGATATTGTCTAAACTTTTTTAACTCTCGTCTACTTGATTATAAGATTACATAACAAAGAAGAATACCTGAGGATTTTGCAGGTTGAAAACTAGAATATTTCTGTCAGCAGTTCCAACAACCATAAGAGGATGTTTAACACTTAGTGCGTAGCAGCGATCAGGAAGCTGCTGCACCCATGTTGGATTCTGCTGTCTCAGATCCCAATACCTGGAAATAAATCAGTTTTCAGTAAGTTTATAGAAAATAAATCAGATTGCTACGTTGGAAATAAACAAACAGTTTAATTTTGCTAGCTTCACATAGAAACTGTAATAAAAAAACATAACTACCTAAGTGTCTTGTCCCAGCTTCCTGTGACTAAAAGATTCATTTCTGGGATCCAAGCAAGCTCTCTAATAGGAGCATCGTGCATGGCTACTGTTACGGGTTGACCGCCAGACAACAACGGCCACATTTTAACTTGTTTGTCACAGCCTCCAGAAAATACCGTTGTCCCGTCATCCTTCCACGCCGAGCATAAGACCTGCCAGAGATTACAAAGTAAACAACAATGGGGACAGAAAAATTCACTCATCTAGTTATGAACAGGGGATTATATCGATTACACAACATCATACTGGTTGATCGTGCGATATTGATGCCTTGGGAACAGTGCTGAGTGCGGTTCCAGATTTCGACACCTCCCAGCATCGTACCTAATAAATGATTATCATCAGATATTGCCAATTCATCTCTTCCAACAACTAAAGTAATAGAGAATGTTTGTTCGTGCAAGTGATAAACGAATTCCAAAAACTTGAGCTCGTACAATTAGTATATGAAATAAGTGGCGTAACACGTATATGATTGAGTACGAAAATTTGACGTATATTGCCTTAGACTAGATAAATCGCAGCTTCTAAATCCAATTTCATGAATTTCAGTTGTTTTTTTGCTTCAATTGTGTTCATTCGTAAACCACGCAACAAAAACAAACACAGAAAAGAGAAAAGTTTACACGAATTCAGGAAAACAAGCATACCTGATTATCCCACGATGTAGCGACCAAGAAATTGGCCTTGGGACTAAAATGCAGGCTCGATACTGAATCGCTCGGCGGCGATAGCACCTTCAGAAAACCCCCAAAAACAAAGAAATATATATTATTCAAATTGAAATCTGTGAGTCCAGAAACATGGCAAGAAATTTATATGAGTAAAAAAATACTGATTAAAAAAAAAAAACAATATTACCTCCGTTGAACGGTTGGGGTTCGTGTTAGCTGTTGTAGCGCCGAATGCAGCCATTTACAGATATCGTTAAACCCTAATTCTGAGCTAATATACGACGAGAAGAAGATACAAATAATTTGCACAGTAATCAGAGGATTTTTTCCGAAGCAAAATTACAGAGATGGGTTAGATTTAGTGCGTGTTTTTGTAGAAGAAGGGCAGAAGGTTTGAGATTTAAAACAAAGAAGGCGGTATTTTAGAGCATAATAGCGTTGGGCAAAAGCTAAATGTAATAATTATCTTTTTAGAAGTAATTTATGGTTAAATACAAATTGCACCGCTATATTATCTTCACTGTTGCATATTACCCTTATATACTATAAAATACGACAATGTCACCCCTGCAAGAATCCGTTTCTTTTCAAAGTAGACGGACCATTGCACAGTTGCACTAGATGTTAGACAATTTCCACAACCTAAAAATTTCACCCGATTTCTAAAAGAAATTATATTCTAAAAATTATTTAAAATTTCCTTTTAAAGTTATGAAATTTTGCAATTTCTTTTATTTTGGATAGTATTTTTAAGTTCTTTTTAAATTTTTGAAATTTTATAATTTCATTTTCAGCCAAAAAAATTTTGATTTAAAATGCTTACCGTGGTTTCTAATTCTCAAAATTCATGCATTTTATTTTTACGTCCAAATACTGCATGTCATATTTTTCTAGAACCACCTGTCGATGCAACCGAAGTGATATGTAATAAAGTGAAAAAAATGGACGAGTAATTAAGTCAAAAAAGTCTATTTATATCATATAAATAGTAAAAACCTAAATACGCTACATAAACTAAGGATGTTAGAGATTTGAGGGTCGTTAAATTGAGGGGCCACTTTGTCGCATTTTATAGTTTATGGGGTTTATGCCACAATCGTAATAGTACATGGGTGTTGTTTGTATTCAACAATCTCCATAAAACAAATTATTTAACTAATAACTATTTAATTTTGAGCCAATTCTAAATTACATTATATTTTTCTGTAATCATTTATTTTCAAATTTGCAAATTCATTTCTTTTTTCTAAAAATATAATCTTGCCATTAATAAATGATTTCTTCAGCAACATATATCAGTAGAAATAAAAATCCATGAATATAGCAACACACTCTCCCAGATATTCAAAAGCAACATATCAGTTTTCCATCTCAACAAGACAGTATATTTATTTATATGGACAAAAATCAAACATTTCAACAACATATATTTACTGCTCAAATAAAACCCGACTATACAATAATCGTAAATCCCGTCGATCGCTCGTTAACTCACCTTTTCCATGCAGCAGAGAAGCTAGATATCAAGAATCTGACAGCTAACCAGCTCTGCAGATCCAGCACTCCTAGTAGCAATAACTTTCCAAATATTCCCCGAAGATTCCGACACCGATACCTTTCCGGAAAGATCCACCAAAGATTCCCCCAAACTATCCGACGAAGTAGATGGGTCAAGATTAACCTCGTTCCTCCTATCAGCCTGCATAACCAATATATTACGATTCACATCTTTAGTAATCACATGCAACTTCCCGAGAAAACTGGCCAGCAAATACGGCGACTCGGAATCCGCCAGGTCACTAACAGGCACATCTCCTTCAATCGTTTTCCAAGAATCGTCTTCTTGATCGTAAACTTTGATCCTAGCACTATCGAGCGAACTCGAAGGATCCAAAGCGTACAATTCCTCATCAACAACAGCACTTAACTTAGTGCCCGCCTGTTTCGCGGGCCACCCCTCCCCCATGCCAGCTGGCATATCCGCCCACGAGTTTGTTTCCGGGTCATAAACCTCACCCCCAACGTCAACGAAAAACGGCCAGCAATACAAACTTTGAGGTACGTATAATTTCCCCCTATATGATGTCATCCCAGTTGCAATAGGTTTGAGAAGATCGGTAAGAAAGGCGGTAGGTAGAACCTGCGCTTTCAAAAACGGCATGCTGGGTAACTCCGTCCACACACCCGAACGGGGGTCGAAAACCTCCGCCGACTGGAGGGGGGCCAGCGCCCCCCTCCCCCGCGTAACACCCCCCACAACGTAGAGCTTGTTGTTCAACACACCCGTTTTACAATAGGCTCTGTTAATGGACATGGGGGCCACTTCGCTCCAAGCGTTCGAAACTGGATCGTAGCGCCAGGTGGCGTTCATGGCTGAAGCCCTGCAGAACCCACCAATGACGTAGAGACAGCTGTCAACGGATGAGATGGCACAGCCACAAAACGGGATTTCTTCCAACGCGTCTCTCCTCCCAAACAAGCCCCTAATGGCAAGATTCCACAGTCGAAAACCGGATAATCCTCTCCTGATTCCGTCTTCAGAAGCAATATTTGGCATCAACGGCAAACGCTGCCATATACAAGAAACGGGGTCCATCGCATGCCACACGAGCTTTTCACCGTCGAGCTTGGTCAATACGTATAGCCATTCCTCTGTTGTGCCGAGTTCTTTCCTCAGCTTGTAATACTCTACGCTCGTTAGAGTGGATTTCCATGTCCTCGAAACGAGTTTTGCATTGAAATGATACATCCTTGGCAGCCTGGCGAGAATCTGAATCGATATTTCGTCGGGAAGACTAGGAATCAATCGGGTATTTTCTTCCCAGAAACTAGTAGATTTCTTTCGTCTCTTACATGCCTCATTTTGAGAGGCATCGAGTTGCTCACTCCGGCTCGTTTTGTGGTTGTTTAAACTCAATCTAGCTCCCATTGATATTTTCTTTTTCTTTCTTTAACTTCTGTAAGTGGATATTAGCATGTTATCGATTGAGATAGCTTCGATCTTCCATGTCGTGTGGTGTGCGACTCCATTTTCTTGATGATTTAGGGAAGTAAAGAATCAGAATAGATAAAAGATAGTAAATAAAAAAAAAAAAAAAAAAAAAAAACGTAACTACAAGTTAGATAAAATGATCACCATCGTGAAATGGATAAGTTATCGGTGCATATGTTCGTTTCAAGAATCGCCTAATTGCCTAACTCTGACATTGAAAATTCAGGAAGGCTAGATATCATAGTAGATAGAAATGAAATTTAAACATTTATAAACACCGGTAACGAAATTCCAGATCACCGGTTCGAAAGGAGAGTCTCGTGATTGTAGATAATCACCATTTAGGAACTGCTTATCGCAAAATTAGTGAGAATTTCTAGATTAATTGACAGATCAAGTCATTAAAAGTCAACTAGGTATATCAGACTTCAAAATTCTCATCAACAGAAGATCAGAATCAAAAAACTCATCCATCTACATCAAATATATTTTACATACTTCACCACTCCCCATATTGTGAATTGAACATCTAATTTTGACCTAAAAAAATAAATCCCTCAAAGAATAAATTTTCAAGTCTCGATCTTTAGGGCACAATCAACATATA